CTGTAATGGATATTGCAATCTGAAGATTCAAAGAGACTATCTGTGATCTTTGTCCTCAGCCCAGTAAGCTGGAGTCTCTCTTCCCTCCTACACATTATTTGATTGTAGTGTATAACCTTGGGATGTACTAATAATCATTAGTCAGAGCTGATATATCCTTTATGGACCTGTCCAGCTGAGAAAGGGAGGTGTTCTCTAGAAGAGCAGTAAATCAGCAAAACATGCACTTAAATATACAGCAAAATGTGGTTTGAGACATGATCCTTCATACATCATATAACAAAATGCTTTACGGAGAGAGTCACATATAAGCTAATGAGAAAAGAGTGCTTTTGAGATGAGATTTGAAAAGGGGAAATGATTCAGTGGCTGGGAGGGAGGCTGGGGAGAGATTCCAGATAAGCTCATGGCACGAGGGTAATTACGAGTCCCTACTTCCAGCCAGAGAGCTGGGAAGGTGCTTCTCTGCCGCTGCTGTACGTGATGTGGTGCCTTAGGAGGCAGCAGGAGAGAGAGGAGGGAAAAGAAAGGAAGGGAGCACTACAGAGCTGCAAACCTTTTAAGAGCTCAGACCTGATGACTTTTAGAATAAGCATTGAGACCCTGGCAGAGGCAGTGGAGAAGGTCTGGGTTACCAGGAGGAACAAAAGGGCTATTCTGCTGTTTACCAGCTGGGCCTGTCCAGTCACTTCTTTGTCATTGTCCTTTTGCTGTTAAGTAGCTGTCTTTTTGCAGCTGAATGTTGCAGGAATCGTTAGAGCATCTCCTTCTCTTTTTACAGGCATCTCTCATTGTTATTTAAATCTAAGTGAATAAATAACATGTGCATCTGCAGCTCAGCCAGCAGACCAAGGAGCTGGCTGAAGCACCAGGCAAATCTGCAGGGGTGAGGGGGAGGATGAACTCTCATCCCTCAGCAAGGCAGGCTGTGTGCCATCTCCCCGGGCTTGGTTTGCCGGGGGGATGTGCAGAATGTTTTAGTCTCTGGGTTTCTGGCCAGCAAAGAGTGGCCTAGCTGCTTCAGCTCCTTTGGCCTGTCTTAGTTTGCGTGGTGTTAAGTAGTTGCAGAAACTGTGCCAAAAGGGCTGGCCAAACCAGCCAGCCAGATGTCCATAATACCTGGGGCCTCATCCAACACTGCTCTGTGGAGACCACTGCCTTTTTTTGAGAATAGAGCTTGCAGTGGCTAGCCTGAACTTGCACATCCCTGTTGCCCCTAGAGCTGGGCCCACTGGTGCGGGTGACAGGTTTTCAACTTGAGGCAGGCACATGAACCTAGGCTTCAAAAAGTGTTTATAGAAAAGCTCCCATTCACTTCAACAGAGGAGAACTACCACCGGTGGTCTTTTCCTATGAGTCTTGTCACCCTTGTAGTACTGACAAAATTAGTCAAAGCTTAGCTTTTTGCTTACTGGTGACGATTGTGACCAGTTCAGGAAATGCCAGTTCAGGATGGCTTGAGCATGCTTTGGGCCAGGTGCTTTGCTTAATGCAACCTCTCTGCCCCACATTTAGTGCCGCTAGTATATTGGAAGGCTGCCAATGCATAACTGAAATTGGGTGGGGAATCTTTAATAGAGTAGATGCAGCATAGCATGAGACAACATCATCTCCTAAGCAGAGAGGAACACAGTTACACAAGGACTTGATGAAGGGAACCAAACTGATTCTGATACCGTGAAAAAGCAGTAAGAAAGAGTCATGGTGTTATATATTCAACATGCAGGACTGATGAATTTAGGAGTAGTGATTTGTGACCAGTGAATGTGGAGCAGAAGGAGAGCAATGACCCAGGAGGAGAAACTGAGAATAAGGAAGTAAGGGAGTGATGAATGGGCATGTCTGTATAGAATTTAGTCTGAAAGCAGTGCTTACCTCCAAACCAGGTTTTTTTTGTTTGTTTTTTTTTTAAGAACAGATGAAGCATCATAACTGCATCAAAGGCTTTAAGGATTGCATTGCCCAAACTGTGTGTGATGTCTGTTTGGTTGATGGTCAGACAGACTTATGACAGGCGTGCATTAGACCTGAATGAGAGCTCCTTTTGACACCTTTTGTCAGGAATTGTGACACACAGCTCTGTGTCTTTGCTGCAGGACAGCAGCCTAACGTGAGCTGCAGAGTACTTCAGGCTAACCTGCACTGGAGGAACTGGGATCCTCCACTGCTGAAATAAAGCCAGCCAACCATTTGTGTTTGTGACCAACACAGTCATGCATCTAGAGTGGAGAAAAAGGAAATTCTTTTACTTGTCGCTCTAATAAGTATTATAATGGTTTATAGTTTTTTTTTCCTAAATCTGTTTTTGTTTTTCTCCTAAATCTGTTACAAACATGAGCGCAGATTAATTTATTTAGAGGCAAGGCACTTAAAAATGTGGGGTGTTTGAATGACTGGCCTTTTAATAAATTAATCAGTGCTCATGTTTTTAAGAGCATTAGGAAGAGATAAAATCTCTAAGCCTCTTGTCATGGCAACTACAATAAATGAAACATCATTCAGAAGTCAAGAAAAAAAATACAAGCACTTAAGGTCTTAGCAAAGTCCACAAAGTAACATAACTCATTACCAATGCAAAGGAGATGGATCCCTTAGAGCTCACTGTTACTATTTTTACTAATAATAATACTAGAGCTGCAGAAATTTAACAGAATGTTAAATTCTGTTTAGCCCAGCATAGTGTTGAAGTACCACTATCCTAATCAAATATCTCCACATTCCAGACTGAGGCTGTCACTTTCTCCAGTCAACCTGGTGAGAAGCAGTGCTGGCTTAGAGGGAAAGTACTGGGGAAAAGACGGTTACACTTTTCAAGCTATACCAGTCTGATAACGTTAAACCTAGAGAGAGAGTGAGAGAGGGCATAGGTGTTTGTAGTTTATGTATAAGCAACTGTGGCATCATAAGAAATTTTTTCAAACAATATGTGATAGTTCTTTAAAGATTTAAGAGTTTGTTGACCTATTTTCTCAGTTAATTAGGAATTTCTGGCTGCATTAACAGTGACTCGAATGCAGTTTGCTTTAGATGCTAGACGCTACATTGGGTTACAGAAACATGATTTCTTTCTAAAGCACAATGACACAGGAGGAGACACAGGAGTATCTAGGCTTGTACTTGAAAACTTATAGGCTTTCTAGTAGGTAGTACTCTAGCTCTACTTATTGAACATAAAAACATTCACCTAACATCCTTCTGAGTCCTGAAACAAATGTATTTCCAGTTACAGCACTGCCTCTGACCTTGGTTATTCTGCAATGGAAGGACCCTGGTGTGGCCATCCTTCTTCTGAAAAAGCAATGATTAAGACCGCCAAGCTCATCCCTGCAAGCTGGGTTTGTGAGTACACTTATTTTTTTTCTCATTCATTTTGCCCAAGGCTTGCTAGGCCTAGAAGTTGACTTGATAGAAATTGGGCCATGTGTGGATTGCAAAGCTTCACGTCACTGATCACGGTACAGTAATATGGTTGAACTGAGCTCTTTCTGAACATGGAAATCGCTATTAGCCAAAGATGCACTGTTACTCAAATTGCAGGGTTTGAATACATCTTGTTTAGGTCTCAGGTGTCTCCGCTGAAGTCAGTGGACACATAGGGGAGGAAGTGAGAGCAGAGCATTGACTGATTATCAAATACGAAGATGGCCAGATAGTTGGAGATGGTCACAGTGTTGCGCAGGATGTCAGTTATCCAGTGTCCTCCTCATCAGGGAGGAAGTGTGAGCCATCAGGATCCTGTCAGTATCTGCTTAGCTCAGGGGGCAGTACTGCAGGCTGCGACAAAAGTTGCAGCACTGCAATGTAAGACTGCTCTGAGTTACACATCTCAGAGAAACATCTGAGGCCCTCCACCAGGATACCAAAAAGGATGATTACTGCTCTCTGAAAGGCTCTAAAATGTACATTTCAAGAGGATTGTTATCAGCGCTATTTCTTGCTCATTCCAAGTTTCAGTAAAAAAGACCTTTGCCCTTGCTTTCTACACCCCTTCATATCTGGAACGTGCTGGGGTTCTTCCTGTTTTCTAAGGGCCTCCTGCCGAAAACCACACAGTCGGAGAGAAGTTTGCACAAAATCAAAGTACAAGGATGCTGTTAACTTACCATCTAGCTTTTGCTGAGGATCTCTAAAGTGACCTGGGAAGGGTACTTCTCAGTGTATGTTTCTTGCACACAGTGTTACTGAACTGAGTCAAAGTAAGAGACAAAGTAAATGCTGGCCGTAAGGCTTAAACAAGCTTCTTCATCAGGTGCAAATGGATAGGAAAGGTTTTCTTCCATTTGCACCTGATGAGGAGACATGTTTCTCCCCCAAAAGCGGGCGTCTGCCACCCTCTGTTTCATTCCCATAGATCAATTCAGCAATGTGAGGAGGACCTGCGTTCTTCGGATCAATGTACTCCACTAATGAGCTATTGCTTTTTGTTTTCAAATAGGAACTTAAAATCCACTGACAAGTATTTTGTGATCTGAGAATCAAATGTATAGAAATCAAATGTATAAACTTCTAAACGAGAGTAGTGGTTTAAATCAGGGGTTTCTGGTTCCTAGAAAGGAGAGGAAAGCATAACACTAGAAACTTTTGCTGAGATTAAACAGGAGACAACACCACAGTGCAGAAGAAGATTTTCTATTTTTGGCTACACCCTTAAGGCAACAGAGGAAGTGTAATGGCCGCAAAGACACAATTAATGAGCAGGTATGCAATATTAATTGTGGTAAGTGTAACACACAGAGCAATCTATCTACTTTTATTTTCTTAGCAGCTCTAATTTAGATTTTTTTTGACTACCACCTCTGTCTGAACTTGCTGCATCTGTATCATGATCAAAACAAACATGCGTATCCCCACCATTTCCCAGCTGGAGTTTGTTTATCTATACGGCTGCACATACAGGAGATAAACTACTGCTTCCTGTAATGTGTGTTAGGCATTAGTCACATTCACCTGCAGAAGCAGCTGGCTCACCTACGTAGCAATGTTTTAAGTGTTGCAGATGTCTAGATTATGGTCTTTTTCCTGCTGCCTGAAGGGCTGATCCAGTTATACTCGGCCTGAACCAGCACGAAGCTGTTCTCCCGGATCTTTCGGAAGTGCATCATCTCCCCGTTTTCTCTCACGGTGATAACGTTGTTGTCTGGTTCACTGAAGGACACTTCTGTCCGCTTGTGGCAAAATTGGGCATAGAGGCAGCGCAGCCCAGCTGCCAGAGCCAGGCCCAGGACAGCTGTGCAGACAAGGAGGATGCCAAGTTGGGCTGCTATGAGTCGAGTCCCTCTGCCAGAGTCTTGCCCCTTCCCAGGAACAGCAGACTCAGGAACCGGTCTGGTCACCCACGACAGTGTATTCCCAGCCACCTCCTCTCCAACCTCCTCCTCCTCTTTGCCCCTGGAGCCTGCCTCCTCTGGCTGCAGTGCTGGCTTTCTTTCCACCATTTGCCTTGAAGCTGATGACAAATTGCTGGCAGTATCTGAATTGCCAAACTGGGCTGTTGTCACAGCCGTTTCAAGCAGGTGAGTGTGTACATGTGGGGCAGAACGAGAAGCTGTTGCATACAGGGAGGTTTTCAAGACAGCCCAGTTCTCAGTACTCACCTTTGAAAGCAAAAGCACAATAAAATAGCCAGTGAGGCAACAGGAAGGAAGCCAATTAGGTTCTCACCCACTAGCAGCTTCACTGTGTAGTTCAGCTCTGTATTTCGGGTTCAGTGTCCCCCCGGCCTTGGAATAACCCTGTTTCATCCTCTGGTTATTCCATAGCTTTTAGGAAACAAGCTAGATTTAACACAGCTCTTTCCATACCACAATTGTCATGAGAGCTGAGGCAATGGGAGGTGGTCCCATAGGCACAGGGCAGAGCGTGTTGAATGGGCAGAGATGAAGGGCACAGGCAAAGATGAAGGTCACTACTTAGCATAAGTAAAAGTCTGCAGCTCCCACTGCTGTTGTGGTGGTATTTTTCACAGACATTGCCATCACAAAGAAAATCACTTAATAAACAATTCCCCCATTTAGTGATGCCAAGGTCATGCTGAAAGGACAGATGTGATCTTCCCAGCCAAACTTCATGTTTAGGGCCACAGTGAGCCTGCTCCCATTCAGGATTGCCTTTCCAAGACCATGGCTCAAACCATGGAGAGGAGGTACCCAGAGGACTTCAGAAGACCTTTGACACAAGTATTTTTGGACTGTCACATATAACCTGTGAGCTCTCCCCAAAACTGTTTTGCTTTCTCAGTCTGAAGTCTGCTGCCTCTCCGTTGTCTAATCACCCATTATAGTGTGAATTACTGTTCTTGCTTACTCCTGTTCATTCCTTGGCCTCTGCTTGGTTCCAGGCACCTTATTTTATCAGTCACAAAATGACAGCCACCCCTGCCAGTTCTGCAGTCCGGGCTTTGCTGCAGATATCATCCAAAACCAACTGTGAGACAGTCTTACAATTTAGGAGGCCCCCACTGAATTTTCCTCCTCCCACTGTGCACCTGAGGCCCAATCCAAAACCCGTGAAAGGTACTGGAGTCTTTTCTTTGGCTCCACTGAGATTTGGATCTGGCCCTTAGTAGCTGGCTTTTCTTCAGCATGTCCAGCCCAGCAGGCTTTTTCACACATCCATTAATTACATCAGAGAAACTCTCACCCGCTACTGTCATTAACAGTTTCTAAATCTTGCTGGGAAGCCAGTCTGACAGGAGCACAAAGCTGAGGTAGGAACCCTGGCAAGCTGTGAACCAAGGTAGGGGAGGGTCAAAGCATCCTTTGTGGAAGAGATGATTTCTAAAGAAAGTGAAGGTGATGATAGTAAAATGTAGGCAGCAAATACAATAATTTCAGTTGTTGATATGCAAACTGTAAAGCAGCTGGCTGACAAAGTTGATGTTCCATGTGTATGGGTCACTTGCCCTCAAAATGTGAAGGTCGTGTCATAGGGATATACTGCAGGATTGGGGTCTTGGGTATAGAAAATGGAGTTTCCTTGCAAGTCCTTGCCCTATTTCACCCTTTTACTTCTTTCTTTTTTTACTTCTCTCCTTTCTCCTCTGCCTTATTTCTCAGTATTTTAATTTTGCTATGCTCTTCTTTTCTCGCCTTGCACAATAGCTCTTCCTTTCCCTTGGTCCTCTCATTTCTTCAGTTCTTTCCATGGCTATGCCAGATGCATATGTTCCATGTCTCTCCCATATTTGTTCTCTATCTTCCTCTTCTTCATTAAATATTTCTCTCTTATTTGCTGCTGTAGAGGCTCTTCCACTTTTATTTTCTGGACTGTTACCTCTCTTCTCCCTGTGGCATCCTGCAACCCTGATCTAGCTTGCTATTTTTTTTCTCTCCATCCCCTACTTATCAGACTTCCCTGTTAACCTGATTATTAGACTTCCCCTATTGTTTCCCATGTCTTTAAGCTACCCCCACTTTCTAGCTTCTCGACAAGTTCCCATCTGAATAACCCCTGTTATAACCCCATCTGAATAACCCCCCTGACCTCTGTCCTCCACTTTCTCTCCCATCTCTCGTGGTCTTTTCCCTTCTCTACCTGATCTCCAGCAGGCCCTCTCCAGCTCATGATTCCTCCCTCAGTAAAGCCATTCGCTCACCCAACGCTGCTCTCATTTTACACCTTTCCGGACTCCCTCTCCCCTCGTCACCCCTTCCTGAATGACTCTCTCACCAGCTCATCCCTTCTGCCATCTCCAGCTGTTGCAACCATCTCAGACCAGGGCTCGCCTTTACCTGACCGTGGACCTGAGCCTTTGGCTGACCGCCACCTCTGCCTTCCTGGTCGACTCAATCTCCTCTGCTGGCTCTGCTCCCATACCGCTTGCTGCCTTGTTCTCTCTGGGCTCCATCCTGACATCCTACCACTACCTGAAACGCAGGCTGAGGGCAAGGAAACACACTGCTGCCTATCAAAGGGATAACCACTGGTCGCCTTCCTGAAAACACTGAAGCAGCGAACATGCGAGCAGGAAGCAGCAGCAGTAGCCAGAAGGACTGCACTGGGCTCCAGTAAATTGCCTTGCAGTGAAAGGGGGAATATTTCCTCTGAAAGAGGAACTTGCAGCTGTACTGCATGTCCTAGGAGACAGTTACCTCCACAGCTTGGCTAGGAGGGTCCCCAACTGGCAGGTAAAGCAGGAAGAGCAATGTTAGAACAAGACATCAAACGCTCCATGGGCTCCAGACCGTTCTCACCCTGCCCTGTTTTCACAGTGGGGAAAGAGTTCTGACTTCAGTTGTCTCCACTGCGATTTACACCATGATAAATTAGAACAAAGTGAGACGCTGTTTCTGGGTTTGCATCTTTCGTGACAGCTGGAGGGGACATTAGGCTTTTCTGTCCCTGAACAGCAACTTATTTAGGCATCAAGTAAGAACAACTTAAATCCTGTAAAGAAAAAGGTAAATGGTCTGAAGACAGGATATTGAGCTCCCTACATAGTATCAAGCTGGTTTTGAACTGCTGCATTCCTATGCAGAAGTACCCATTTACTGCACTTCCTGATGTGTTTGTGTGAGCACATTAAGGAACATGTTTTCTTCTTATGAAATTACCTCACATGCTGAATGTTTTAGTCTTTATTTACAGAACAGCCCCACACTGACACCACAAAGAGGTGACTGCTTTAAAGAGCTTTAAGCAGAAAGAAGGGCTTAAAACTGTTGGGGAAAATCAGGCTTTAAAGCTGAGGAGAACATAGGTCTGTCATGTTCACAGAGAGATGTGGGTCGTCCCTCAGAAAGCATTTAACTTTCCTGGCCTTGGCAGGATGAAGCCTTAGGCCTTTGGTAAATGTAATGGCTAGTACCTATCAGGATCACTGCACTTCTGGAAAGAATATCTCCACCTCCTGGAATCAATGCAAATTTCCAGCAGCCTGTAGTTATGGTCATATCTACATACGGAAAAGTTATTTTAGATTGTTTCTACAGTGGGGCTCTTAGAAACCCAAGCAGCAGGCTTAAAGGGAAAAAAAAAACAGATATGAAAAACATTTTCCAGTTAAAATTTAAGAATTAAAATTCTTAACAATCTCAAAGTAGTTTTAGTCAGTTATGACAGCCACACGTACTGCTTGGTGCTGTGATGTGGTAGAGAGGTTTTACGCTCATCTTCTGTTAGCCTTTTCACCAGCTCCCAGCAATTACTGTCTCTGGAGAAGACACCCTCCCCATCTCCAGTGCTTACCTGCCCGCCTTCTCTGCATGTCAAACACAAGTGTGTTGTGGTAGCGCTGGCAATACTTTGTGTTCTAAAATATTGAAACAGGAAAGACGAGGTTAATATGTTATGTCTATCACTTCAAAAGAACAAAGTAAGAATCTACAAGGTCTACTGTATACACATTTTATTATGAGTGCCACTTGCTAGAATAGCCTCATGATACACACAGTCCACACACACCACACACAGCCCTGTTTTTAAAGTCTTATCATTTGTTCCCATACCCATCATTTGCATCCCCAGTGTAAAACACTGCATGAAAGTCCATATGGCCCTAACCCTCAAAGACTTCTGCATCTGAGTAGCCATCCTCAAGCCAAAATTTGCGAGTTGCTTTAAAACCATTCTTTTCCCTGCAGCTAGAGGAAAAGCTCTGCTAAGTACATCATAACTTGGAATATTTGCACATGCTTTCTGAAAAATATTGCAACAATCAGTTCTCAGTTTTTATCACATTTTTCTGTCACCTAGCTGGGCATCTCTACTGAGATGATCAGGAGAACGTCTGTTCTTTCATTGTTTTGAAATAGTGTCTCACTGTCACTTTCTGTCACGTGCAGTCTCTGAAGGATCATTTTTTTCAAAAGTTAAGCAAGCAAACACCTTCTCACTTTCCCCCACAGCCACAAACACCATCCTACGTAGCCCCTCATTCAGCCACACTGAAACTAGCGTTAACTTCCTCCCTCAGCACTCGTGGAGAAATAGCTGTTCCCACTGTCTAGTCTATCACATTTGGTGTTCTCGCAGTACCCGTCAGAGGTGCTGTAGCTGGTGGAAGAGTCTTGGAAGAGGAAACTTTGCAAAGCGCTTGGGATGCCCAGTTCTTGGAAAGCAAGTGATGGCTCCAGCCTTTGACCACTGAAATTGCTACTTCCTCCAATTCTGCTGGATGCAGCCAAGGCCGTGGCACCCAGCAAAGTCCGAGACAACAGTTTTGGGTCAGCACCAGGCTGTGTATCGGTCTGGACACCAAAACCTGCCTCCAGTACTTCTGTCGCAGCAGTGCCAGTCAGCCCCCCAGGCAGGGTGTTTGTGTATTGAGGGAAGCTGGTCATCGCAGTGGGAGAGGCAGAACCTTGTCAAACACAGAGGCAACACACAAAATAAGAGGAACAGAAATTGTCTATTTATTTTCCTCGTTTTGTTTATTTCAAACCCTCCTTGGTGCTAACATTTACTAGTAAGGATCATAATAGTGACTTTTATTTTTATATCACTGAATTGTAAATAGGAACCGAGATGGAAGGTAAAGCAACAAAGCCCACTGCCCAAATTATATTCATATAAAATAATTAAAGCTCAGCCTTGGTGCTATGGCAGAAATGTTAAGAAACTTGTCAGATTTTAATATAAGTCTAAATTTGTGGAGCATTTTACTAAGTAGAGGCTGTATAAATACATACATGAAGGGTAACAGTCTCATTTGGAGACTAATGTACTCTTTTATTTATACAGTATTGCAAATTGCACTTGTTTGTCTTCAGGAACTGAGAGTTTAAGTAAAAGTTGATGTATTTTAGGGTTTGCACTGAAATCGTAAGATATAGCAACTCTATTTATCCTTTTGGTACCCTCCTTGGGACTGACTCTGTTACCTTGAATGCTGACACATGCCCTCACTTCAAGGAGTTCTTCACAGCCGCCGTGGGTCTCACCAGCAGCTACAAGAGTTAAATGGGCCTCTCTCGCTTGTTTGCCACTTGCGTTCAACAGTTGCACGGAGTAAGCTGTCAGAATGCTCTATAGAAGCTGTCAGTAGCTAAACACATACCTTTGGTTGCCATACCTGTTACTTGTGGGTCAGTGAGTTCTTGCAAGGGTGCAGGGGTTAGAGGCTTGGCCTTCTGATGGCTCTCAGCAGATGTTTTGTTTTGCACTTGTTGAGCCACAGTAGCAGATTCAATCTTTGCCCAGTAAACAAAGTATGACTGGACTACAGATATGCTGTTAAAAACATAATTATGCAAGGATTTACTCACTCTATACCATTAATAAAACATCAGAACATTTAGCTAATCAAAAGGAATGCTTTAATCCAAAGGCAGAAGCAGTACAAAAATATTTTAAAGGGTTAGCCCGTCGCACATTTTTTATTACAAATAAAAGATACCAGGTCCCATAAGAAAGATACTGATTGAAAGGATCACTCATAATTAGGATCAGTCAAAAAATGTGTGGGAACTTAAATGAAAAGAAAGCTATTATATTTGCTGTGTTGACAGAAGTACATTTGGAAAACTTTGAATAGCTCTGCTTATAATCTTCCGTAGGCAAGGAGACAACAGTGGTATTTACTAATTAAAAAAAGTCAAAGTAACTTGTACAAACAGCAGCATAGGTAGAAAAAAATAAGGGCACTCTCTCTTAGCTCTTCAGTATGTGAGCCAGCCTAACACTCTGCTTTTTGCCAGGTGCAAAAACTGCATTTTACCAATCTTTAACCATTCATCCTGACAGCCTTATTTAAGCTGGATATTTGTTGAAGAATTTCAGCTCAGATGGCTCAACTACTTCTGAGAATGAGATAAGGGGAAACCAGCCCTGGTTTTCCTTTGTTAAACAACTTTTATGAGCCATTTGTATGTCTTAAAAGGAATTTTTTCAGATGCTCTGACATAAGTTGTGAACGAAGGATTGACAACGTGGCTGGGGAACACCCTTGTTGGGATGTGTCTGTTGCTATTTGCATTAAATCTCCCCAAAATTTATCAATTTATAAATAGTTTGGGGGGATGGAAACCTCAGCTTTTCACAGTCTCGGTAGGAACCAGGTGGAGTTGAGCCGCTGCTGTCCTCTGGCATCTTTGGAGCGGGAAACTGCTGCTTCTTGTGCCGCTCTGAGTGGGGCCAGCTGAAATCCCCCAAATGCACAAGCCCCAGCAACCTGGCAGGAAGCAGAGGGGAAGAGTGGAAAACAACGGCAAAAAAACTCTGCAGGAGAAGAAGGGAGGAAGATGTGAGAGCAGTGGCAACAGCAGATACAGAGGGAGGAGGGGACAGGAGCTGGCTGCGGAGAGAGGAGAGAGCGGGGAAGAGGATGGCTGGAGGTTTCCACGGAGAAGAGAGTGGCCTGTGTTCAGAGGCATGGCCTGGCATGGCATGGAGAAAGGGGAAACGCTATTAGAAGCCAAATTTAGGGGGGCCAAAAGACAGGGAAGAATTGCAGTGGGTTGCTAAAAAGGCAATGTTGGCGTTGAGTTATTTCTGTTTGTTTTAGCTTTGTTTGTTTTAGCGTTTTAATAGTATTGCCTCAATGCAAAACAGTGGGCAAAATGGACATGCTGAGCAGAAACGTATTTGTTTCAATGAATTTATGTTGAATCACGATGAGATGCACAAGCCACGGGACTCACCGGGAAGCTTATGTTTTGGGGAGCAGCCAAGGATCTGGCCAAGCAGCTTCTAAGTGGTTTTGTGAAGTCAATACATAACAATTTCATCTCCTCCAAAATGAAAAATCACTGTGCTTCCTCTACAACAGCCAGTTAGAAAATTTTTAATTTCATTCCAAGACAGAACCAAAATATTTGGACAGTTTTGGACTTTGATGCAGAGCAGTGAGGTCAATTTTTGACTCAGTGCTTGCTTTCTCTTATTACTTGATTTAAAACAGTAACTTTGACTGTGAACAATTCTGTTTATATTTAACTTTAAAATAACCCACTAAATTTGAAAGAAATCACGGAAATAATACACAACATTATCCTGTATGCAGGATGGTCCTGTGGGCTGTGTTATTTAGAAAGTCGGGCAAGTGATCACAGTTCTCTCTTTAGCCTTATTATTTCTATTTCCTAAGTGCTTAGGCTGTCATCTTCTGATGTATTTATTCTGAGAAAATACTGACCATGTAAATAAAAAGGAGCACTACCCAGCAGATATAAAGGGCAATTTATATACCAGCTGGGACACCATTGTAGCATTTGATAAGTATTTAACTGTATGGGATTCAAGATACATTAAACCACTGTGTTGGACAAGTTCAGGGGAAAAATAGAGCCAACTTTTTAATTAAGAAGACACAAATTCTGGTTAGGAACCAACATGTTCTTACAAAAACTTGATGTCTCCAATGGGCTGGTCTGGTGCTTTCCACACAAAGGACAAGTTTCTTTTCAGTGATTTGTCCGAGTGGGTGACAGTATCACCATCTTCAAAACAAGTCAGCAGTTTGGAGCCAGGAGGAATGAAAACAAACGTGCCAGCAATTTCATCATTAGACACCTTGCGAGCTTGAAGCAAAAAGCCCATAAAATCCCGGCTGCTCCTCACTGTCACTGCAAAACAAAACATGGCGCATAAAGGGATTTGTGTCACAGATGAATTATTTGCAGTGAAATTTTCATTGGTACCACTGAAATCAGAAGAAAACTCTGTACAAAAAGAATCCTACTGCCTTTAACCTTACAGTCTGTCTTGGACACGCTAGACACGGGAGACCAGACTTTACTCTTGACTTTGTAGTATGAAATTACACACAATTTGCTTGAGTCTTTTTTTCCCCTTTGATTATAAGCTGCTAAGCAGAGTGTGTTAGACAGCATGGAGCCATCTTTAAAGAGGGAGGTTTGAGTATACCACGCTGCATGGATGCTAAAGATTGCATGATGTCCTTGGAGAAGAATTAGTTTAAATAGAAGTGAGCAGGCAAACGGCCAGACTGGAGAAAGGTAGATCTCAGATCTGTCTATTTCTTCCTCGGGTGCAGTGATGCTGGGGAGGAGTCATCCTGCCCAACCTACCAAGGAGTCAAGGTTGTCGCCTAGATACCTTCACACACAGTGAAGAGAGCCAGTCAGTGACAGGGGGCAACTCATCCTATCCTTGGACAAGTGTGGAAATCGGACAACGTTACTTACCTTCTGAAGGTGCCTCTCATGTGCCATTGTGTGTGGTGAGTTCCTGTATGATTGAAACATGGTTGAGATGAATAAATCCCACCCAAAGCATCTGAACCTACCAGCGGCAAACATTTGGCCTTCAACATGGTGAAAAGCTGGAGTCAGACGTCACCTGAGAAAACTTAGGCAAAGAGCCTGCAAGCAGAATGTGATCCTTTCAGCCTTGATGACTGCTGACAAAAATGCCCAGACTTTATACACCTAACAGGTGAAGAATCTCTCTGTAATTACATTCATTTCCCTGTGATAAGAGATATGGTATACCTCACACAGAGCAGTGCCATGTGGAAGTTATCTTCTTCCCATCTCTCACAGAGGTTAATGTCATCACCAGAGATTAGTTATCTTGTGTTTCTTAGATGCCTTCATCTGTTTTTTAGATGCATTTCATCTTAAATAATTGCTTCTCTGAGCACAGACCAGAAAACTTCTTTGCTCACTACACAGGATTTAGAGTCAAGGCTGAACGTGATTTGAATATCTGTCAACAAAACTGCCGCAAGGTAGAACTAATAACTGCTTTAGGGCTTTTTCCACGACTGTGCTAGGATATAAAATTAGTTGTTGTTCCTTACCTGGTACCTTGTCGCCTGGGAAGAAGAAGGACATATTGGTGTGGATGGTAATGTAGTTGTTCCTGGGACTGTGCAGCTGAGCTCTCATGTGCCTCGGCATCATGTCAGTACAGGCAGAAAGACTCGCTCCATGAGAGAAGGCAGCGGCATATGAAACCAAGCACAGGGTTGTGCATGCCCATCCAATGATATCTACGTGGACTTTCCTTCCATCCTCCATCTTACATCAGTAAAACAACAGGCGAGTTAACTTGAAAGCAGTGACTTCTGGCAGCTGCAGTCCACAAGTGTGTCTGTCACCTTTGAATTAGCTGAGCTCTAGAACAGCCTTTCCCACAGCCTTTGAACGAAGGACAATACATGATCTCTGTGGCATGTGGACCCTCTCTGGCAATCCACAGATTTCACATTTTGAAGTAAATTGGTGAGGCTGGGAGGGAGAGACCCCCACAAGAGAATGCATTTCTTGTGAATTCATCCATTGAGTGACTAGCTGAGAAACACTTGCTCTAAAAATTCTTGTCATGTTTTAACAGGAGGAGAAGGCTCTGTACTGACGTACTCACAAGTCAGCTCGGCACCCTCTACCATTCCCAGCCCAAATATACAACTTTCACAATGGGCAGAAAAGGAGGAAATATGTGTCCCTTAGATCTGCAGAGCCACTCCATGGAAACTGAGCTGTGCCCAGTTCCTCGCAAGGTTTGTGCTACAGCAGAGCCTCTCCCTGCCCGCTGGCAGACAGAGACAGCACGGGGCTATGTCCCATTGCTGCCTGGCCGTGTGCAGAGAGAACACATCTCTGGACCTCCCTGTGACCTGCGTAAGCACAAAACATCTTCTAACAGCCAGTGCTTCAAGTCTTGGAGATGCAGGGCTGCCTGCGACCGCCAGAATGTCTGTGCTAACTATACCCACCCGTATTTGACATTCCAGCAGCATTTTAGTTTGTCCTTCTCTGCCAAAACTCTTTGTTGATTATAAGACATCAGAGATACTGTCTTGGAAACTAGCACTAGAAGCCTAAGATAAACATGTAGCCATTTTGGCTAACGCTAAGATTTCTCCTTATTCTCCAATATTTAATCCGAGCAAACATTTTTCTTGACATTACAGAAGTTTAATAAATTCAGTATGCCGTGACTTCAGTATCTCTCAGATTTGGCACAAAACATTTGCAGATTAGATGGATGGACTGCATTTTGTAATTCCTGTTTTTCAGTATATGCATTTGAAAGTGAAGATGAAGAATGAGCACACAGTATTTATCGTGCGTGGTAATGTGAATCTTAAAGCAGGTGGTGCTGCTTTTAATGCAGCTCTTTCTAACATCTTCTCAATGTGCAAATTTTCCTGGCTTAGGTTACCTTACACTTAGTCAGTAAGTAGGTGTAAATAAAAGGAAATTAGAGACTGAGGGGGTCTAGCTTGCACCTCCATTTACATGACTTCTAAAACTTGCCAGCTGCTTCTAAAAAACTGCCACTGCACATGAAACTCTATTCCCAGCCTCAAGCAGGGAGCAGATGGATATAGTTTAACCATCTACTATGCAGCGTCGTCACTCCGATCAGCTGTGTGCCAGAGATGCTCGCGGGATTCAGAGGAGCCACGGCTAAATATTTGAGCCCCTACAGCACCATAGGTGGGATGCCCTCATTCTCGTGGAGTCAGTCTCCCCTCTAGATACACTTCAGTCTCCCTTGCTGGATGCGATTTCTCCCAGGAGCTCATAAAAGTACCTCTGAGCAGCACTTCTTTTCCTCTGCTGCCCAGGCAGCATGTGCGACTCCCCCTGCCTCTCCCCCCACCCCCGTCCCTGCGCCCTTCACAGCGCAGAGCGGGGAGTGAGGCCTCAGCCCCCCAGGGCCTGCGCAGCCCTGGGCCGTGCCGGCGCTGCTCGCTTACCTTGGACACGTACTCCGCTGGCCTCTCTGCCGTTGCTCCCCTCAGCCTGCCAGAGAAACATCCTTTCAGGAAAGTTCTTCACTTTCTCCTCTAATGGGAAGTGCAGCAGCTGTTACTGCTAAAACCCAAGACCTACAGGAACTCTCTGTCAATGCCCCAATGCAGCCTTAATCGTATTAGTTTTCCTCTTCATATCCCACCCACCCCTTTTATTATCTCCAAGCTTCTGCAATGAAAATGAAGGCAACTAGCCAGGCAGGGGGGACAGCACCAAGCCATGGGTTTTGTATGAGATACCCTGAAATTCCTTTAGAGCGGTGCAGTGAGAGAGGACTCTTCTTGCGCCCTCTGCCCTCCCCTCGTTCCCTCCTCCTCCACCCCTTCCATAATTGAAGATTTTCTAAACAAACCAAGCCCCCTCCCTTTAGTCTGCGTTACCCTCTGATCTGAATGTCTTACCGCTTGTGTTTACATGAGAGTTACTTGACTGTAAAAGCAAAATTCTGCTAGAAATCATTGGACTGTGCATCCCGCACCGACTGTGCCAGGAGTAACCGTTAACATCTGACAAACCCACCAGAGCCAGGAAACTGTATTAAAAGCTGCCACCCTGTCCTTATTTCACCCTTTTGTCCTTAGGTCACTGATAAGAACAATGACTACTAGTCCTAGCCAAAAAGCTTGAAAACAGACGTAGCTGTACGCGTGCTACGCACAGCCTTGTGCAAACATCTGTTCTGTATGCCAGTATGACATCGGTTTGTTAATAAAAGAATTACTTTGTTGCTTTTTGACAGTGAATGCCACAAATCCCGAAAGGACATCTAATTCTAACTCCTGGTGAGTCGCAGTGTCTCAGGCAAATAGATGGATTGGAGCCACTGGATCTGGAGATTAGCAAAGCTTTCTTAAGAAGAGGGCAAGGGACAGCATCACTTCAGGAGAGTATCTGTGGGCTGCTTTAGGCAGTCTCAGTTGTCTCTGTGACCAAGAGTACCCATGTATATTTGCTAGGCTGGAAAACTCAGAGCTTTTTACACATATAGCTTCAGCCACTGTTGTTCATACCACTGCCAGACTAGATGCAGTGATCAACTCTGCCTGGGGCTTCTCCCAAAAACTGAAGGCAGAATTGCAGAATCCCCACCGATTCTCAGAAGTCATCCCTAACCTATAGGCTGTTTTCAGAAGCAAAAAAAAGACGCTGGGTTGGCTCTAAGATATTACCACTGGCAGCCCACCTTTCATCTGTTTAACTGTTGTAAAAGTATGGAAGCCGGTGGCAGCAGGCTCTCAGCAGACCTCTCTCCTCTGTGTCTCAGGGAGGGCTTAAATCCACTGAATTTCAAGAAAGAATGCAAGGCTTTTTATTTGTTCATTCATTCACTTGTTCTTTCTTTTTCTTTCTCTTTCACTTTTTCTTTCTTTTGCTTTCTCTTTTTTTCTTTCTTTCTTTGGAAATGGAGAGTCTTAGCTGTAGTAGTTTGGGGGGCAGGGAAGGAAGAATAATTTGCGTTATTCTATTCCAATTTGCAATCACCCATATTTTATGTATAAAAAATGAGCACATTCAAATAATGCTATATTAATGAGTAATCCTTTCTTGAAACCAGCCAGTCTTTTGTGGATATTCCTTATTAACTTATTCCTAAGTTAAACTATCCCTTGCTTTTAATTCCAGTGTAATACCGAAGAAAACAATCTGTAGGAAAAACATTTGAACCCACCCAACCTGTTGCAGCCGTTCTGATACAGTGACAAGATCTGAAAATAGTATTCCAGGTAAGTGTCTGTCTCTGAATCACAGCATAGTGTTACAGCATTGCATGGTTGTCTCCTTCAGTTGCTGCTGCGCACTGAGCAGAAGTTTTCATTATGCAGTCTTCAGTAAGGTCCATTCCTCCAGTGGCTTTTACCTGAGGGGAAAACAAGCACAGGGAGAAGGCAGAGCCTGAAGCAGCGATGCCAGCTGTTCAGATCTAGAGCTGATGTTCGAGGTAGCAGTCAGCACTCTGCATCATGAGGCTGTGCTTCCACCCCACAGATATGGGGAGAAAGCAGAAGAGCTTCCAACAAATTTGATCCAGAACCAACCCAGCTGTAACAGCATAGGATGTAACACAGCACAACAGTGGTTCTGCTCGCTTCTGAAGCTGGAGCTAGCTGGAGCTAACAGCTGCGCATCACCATGTAGGTGTTATATGCAGGTATACCAGCTTCATTCAGAGTTAGCTCTGAGAGATCTGCACAGTGCTGCACGGATACAGCTCTAATTGCTGGGATGATTTGAAATACAGTCTTACGCAGCGTTCATCCTCACTGTCTGCTCTTAGGCCGAGAACTCAGTGGTTTCAAAGCTGCAGCCAAACCAAATGTTACAATCGTCTTCCACTTAGAGATGGAAAAATCCTGTCACAGTCATTATTATGACATGAGCACCTACCAGCAGCCTCGAACTGCAAGTTCTAATGCCAGATGACAAGCATATGTTTCCAATAAGAAATATAGTCCTTTCCATAGCCTTCGGTTGCATTACCCAACAGGACAGCATTGCCTCAGCCTTTTCTGGACAGAGCTTTGACCTACTGGAGTCATTTGAGCTCAGTCAGGCTCTGCATATCACTCTGACAATGGGGCCCAGACACAGACAAGAAAAGATCACATGTCATTGCTGTCACTAGAGAGAGTTTTGGCTTTTTCCTGACATAAATTTCTGTGCGAGTAGGAAGCTGGCTTGGAGAACTAAGACAACTTACACCCTGTTAACTGTTTTCTCAGCAGTGTTCGTGTAGCAGATTTCTAGAATAGAAGAAAACAAACCCCCAGCTGGGATTTTAGTGTTAGTGAAAATTGTGCATGGTCTGTAATAGCTTGATAACTGTGATAAACTATAGACCATGTAACTTGAAACGTCATCGATGTAGTGCACAGGAAGATTGTGAATCAGTAATACTCCAGGCTCTTTGATGCAGACACTTTCTCCTTCTCACAGATTGCATCTACATCTCCACATCATCAGGGGCACAACAGGGGCAGCAAGTGTGGCGCAGCTGCAGTGAAGAACAGTGTGTAACGCGGTCATGGATGTAAGCAACCCAGAGCTGTCACACAAGAGTAAGTTGGTTGCTTCACTGGCAGGTTGAGAAATGCTTTGATACTGCACAATAATTGAGGTTATGACCAGTAAGCAGTCCTTCCTGGTGAGCCAGTAGCCACCTCAGTCCTTGAAAGGATGTTTTGGGAGTTAGAGATGAGTGGACAGATTGATCAACAAGTAGAGAGATAGGAGGTGGCAACAGTTAAGTCCAGATCACAAGGAACTAATTAAACCAACAAACTTGGAAGCACCATTTTATTTAAGAAAATTTCATGTCATTTTTAAAACTAAGAGTAATGTCCAACAGTTAAATGGAGAGAGAGAGGGGGGTTAAAAACCCAAAGTAGTTCCATAGGCAGAATGAAGAATAACGCCTACCAGGTGGCATCTCAAGGTTGATCTGTGCATGTCTGTAGCTTTATGTCTGGGAGAGCAGGGGAGAGAGGATGTTTCTCTGATACCTATTTAGAAGGAAGGTACTGACCTTCCAGTAAAAGCATTAGCAAGACCTGCGGTTTCTATCCAGTTGTCTATTTTTGCTATTCCTCTATCAAACTGAGCTGAAGTGGGCAAGTAGATTCACGTGTTACTGGTGGAAATGAACTGAAACATATGCACACACACACACACCCCCAACATATAATGTGGCCTCGTGAGCCCCATTCACTTACAAATTCAGCCTAAAAAAGCTTTTATTTGGTGACTACCATAACTTGCGCAGCTCAGGAAAGCTTACCCCTGTCCACTTTCTCTGCCTTGGAGAACAGTTTGGCACAGGAACTTCAGACTTTAAAACTACTGGCTCTCTCGTTGCTTTCCAAAACAACGAGCTGGAACTAGCCACAGGCATGGACTGGCACATTGCATTGCTCTGGTACCATCATTCAAATGTTCTAAGACTGTCAACTTGCAAACACTTTGACACATTTTTGACTCTTGTGAACAATGCAGTTGAAATCTACAGCTGTCAGGCTAAGGGTGTTGCAAAACCTGCTTTTAGAACTGCACATGGACCTTAAGACTTAATGGGCAAGTAATATCCAAATGGATTCTGGGTAGCTGTTTTGTCATCTTAACATCATAAAAAAGATGGACAGAATTCAAATAAATAATGTGCAGAGCAGTTTTCATACAATTCCCTTTGAACTAGGAACCAGGTGGCAAACAAATTGTAAGACTAACTGGTCATCAGTGAATATGCCTTTAAAACAAACCTTTCCTAGCATGCTCTGCTCCCTTTATATAGGGGCACTCAGGGGTGCTGCAGGCCTTAGTAGTAACCTGACTTCTGACTGCACAGACCCCTTTATCACCCAGTAAGTATTTAGTCCCTCTTTCTGCCTTCCTTTCTTTTGCTTCCGTAGAATATGGTGCATTGTCACTCTTGGCCAGGCTTTTTGTGTAAGATGTGGCTTAGTTTGGCTTTTCAGTTTTGATTTTTATGAGAAGCTTTTACACTGGATGTGGGGATTTAGCATATCCAGAGTTACTGTTCTTTCTAGAGGCTGTCTGAACTGAAAGCTTGAAAAAGGGTTAGGAGTGGGGCAATGGCTGAATGGCTGTAGTTTCTGAAGTGATCCCATCACATAAAATTACTACTTACGCACATAAATGCAGCTTTATTCTTTGAACTGCATGCAATTTTTGTTTGTTAATTTTGGATGCTCTTTTCTAAGACAAGTGATTTCTCCTATGGACAAGTGCTTTTAAGTTGCTACAGGAATGTGTCATTTTCAGTCTTGACCTAGACATGCTGGATATTTTTTCAACCTAATTATGATATACTGTCTGCTCAATCCACAAATAAAATTGCTTTATACACAAATACTAGGGTAAGAGAATTACAATATAGTAAGCTAAATAACATGAAGGGCATGAGCATTAGCATCTAATACTGTCTTTGTGTGTGAAGATATGCTTTTAAGAACACTTGTGTCAGTACAGAAAATGCACGTGGTCGCTGCTGGTCTTTCTCCCAACAGAAACAGAGTTTCATACATTAGGCTGAGTCATTTTTAAATATGAAGAGTTTCTGAAATACACCAGTCTACTTTCATGTTTACATAAATATATAATGGGATAGTTCACCTTAAAACTTAAACTTTGGATACTGACTGTCCAGTGTCTGATTTACTTACAACTGGTATGTTGTGATCCAGAACACAGAAAGTCAAAACAAAATCCAAAAGATAAGTGAAATAAATCCAAGATGAATGTTCTAACCAACTTAAAATGAACTACATCCATTCTAATTCCTAACTGAAGACAAAATTAAACATTCACTTCATCTGAACTCAAATTGAATTAAGGCTTGCAAAATGTACATAAGGGCTCAAAATTGAATTAAGGCTTGCAAAATGTACATAAAGGTCAGCAAGTGTGCAAATTAGATGTTTAACTCCTTTTCTTTTGAAATTTAACTATGAATTGTAATCACTCCTCTTTAGCATGAAATTTCTTATCTACGTCGCATGGTGAGTAGTGCCTGATACATTTTTCACCACTGAAAAAATACTCCCTACTAACTTCATGACCTAGACTACATTACACAATCTCAGCATTTGAACTATGGAGTATTTATGAAGGTCAGTGTTTAATATGGGTGAGCAGACCGTGCATTTAGATGCCATTTCAGAACTACCTTTTGAAATAGCAGTTCGCAATTGAAAGCTGTTCCGTAACTAGGCTTGTAGAAACAGAACTGCTATTACAAAATTAGGGATACAGAGAGTTGAGACTAAAACAAATGCTATGCAAAATATGTAGCCACAGTTGGATAGGTGGACAAGGGGGAGAAAGGTGGAGGAGGAAGAAAGAATAAACAGAATTAACTACTCTTAAAACAGGGACTGAAAGGACACAGTAACCTGCCAGCTGTACATAGCTGACAAAACAAATGAGAAACTGCATGCTCCTCTTGGAGGCACATCTTTCTCTTTTTTTAAAATCACTTAGAAAGAGCAAACTGGTGATTCGTACTTACATCCTGGACCCTTTTCAAGCCCTTGTCAAAAAATGATAAATTTTATTGAAGCATATAATAAAGTGGTGTCTTTATTTGCGTGCTCTGTAGAGGCTTCTGAAGTACTTTGTGTAGAAAGATTAACTATTAATTGCAAAATAATTTGGAATTATTCCCTGATTGTGTTTTTTTTTAAAAAAAGAAAGCAACCTGCATACCCTTCCCTTGGATAATGGAAATGTTACTATTTCCTATTTGCATTAGAACTACTGGTACTTGGAAAGAATGGACTAATGTTACATTCACACAATTGTCCTGTGTTCATTCATCCACAATTAGAAGTATTTTTTGTTCCCAAAGGCACCACAAACTGCCCAAAGAATAAAGCAGGGCTTCAGAAAACTCATTAAAAAAAATGGGTAGATAACCTCACCATGAGGCACATTACCCTAAGTTGTAACTTTGTCCTGAGCAACAAGAAAACATTCTGAAATTCTGGGTGTTAAGTGCAGTGTCACTTGGACTAAGAAGTATCTGAACATTCGCACTTTTTCTTGCCTGACTCAATAAAAGGAGAAAAGATATTTTACAAACTGATAGAAGCATCTATGTAAAACTGAACGGATATACTCACTGAGCTCGATACATTCATTTACGTTTCTGGCTAGCATGTGAAGAAAGAGTATATGTATTGTACTAGGCTGGGAGGAAGGAGACGGGAGAATAAGAATGGACTATCTAAACAGAACACACATTATGTGTTTACATAATTTTTTTTTATTTTTTGGTTAAGACTCCCAATCTGTTTTCAGGAATAGCTTTAGTTAAAAAATTAGTTAAAAATGCTTTTTATTGAATAAGTTCTTTGTGTTTTGCAGAGACATGCAAAAAAAAAAAAAAGTAACTGCAAGGGCGGGGGATGCAGAGGGAGTAGAAAGCAGAGGTAGGACATGGAAGCAGCTGCTAGCTGTGTTGGCATACCAACTGAGAGCTTTTCACTGGTGACTGACTCCAGCAGCTGGCACAGCACTAACCCTTAGGGCTTTTCTTCCATTTGATTCAATTCTTTCCCCACCCCTATTGTTGAAGTGTCACTGTTACATCCCCTGATTCAAATCCACAGTTCAAGATTTTTTTGGCTAATTTAACAGTTGGCCTGAACTTTTTACCCAATGACTCTTACCACAGATTGGTATTTAAAAGTGACCCTCTGTTTTCCAAAAGGTACACATCATTTTAACCAAAATATTAGTTTATCCGTTCCTAACCTCAGTTAAACTATTGTTTTGCCATCAGTACAAGACTCCTATTTGTAATTATGCTGTGCTTGCTTACCTTCCAATCAAATGAGCTGTTGCTTTGAATTTGTCTTGCAGCACTACTACATACTTTATTTTTATTCTTTCTGTACAGTGGAACAAAGCAATGCTTTGAAACTGAAACAAAAACATTCCAGAAGTTTACACTGGTTTACATTTATTAAAAAATATATTTAAACACCTGTGTATTTCACCTATGAATTATTAACTACAAATCAAATCAGGCTCATCAATTCAGAGAGGTTCAGAAGTACAAAATAGCCTCCCTCTGGCATCTTCACATCCTCCTCTTCTGTGTGCTTATGTACAGAACTGTGAAAAGGAGAAAGTGACACACATAAGAGCGCCTTGGTAAACAAGGTACAGAAGCTTGTTCATTTAAAACATCTTATTTCCATTGCTTGGTAAAATAAAGCATAACGAATCCCATTCAGCATGAGCAAAGTCAGGAAATCTGTAAAATCAGGTTTCAAGAAATGCTATCAGCGCTATATATTATTTTGTTTTGATATTATATTGATAGCCAAACTGTATACCCCAACAGATGCAGGCTGAACAGAGGGAAAATACAGTCAGCTGTCCTGCAGCATTACTGAGGAGTGCATGAGAGAGTTTCTAAGCAGCAGAGAGTAAGGGTGTCAGAAATAAAGTTCTGCTCTTCCACCAAAAGGGCAAATCCCAAGCACTTATGGCAAAGCTAACGATAGCAGCAGCTGACGTATTCCACCTACTTTACTGGTGATACCAAAACATCATGTAATACAACATTTCCCATACGCTTTTTAGGAGTGTTTTTCCTTTGGGCTGGAGCCATAAAAAAATGCATTTTGAATGCTCACATCATGAAATTAGAATACAAATCATGCTACTGTACCTGCGATGTCTAACTTCTCTGCCCAGCCTGTTCTTCAGTCTTCTGCCCCCTCATCCATTTGTTTTAACTTTTAACATAGGTTATTTCTATAATTGATTCTCCAGCTCTCTGGAGCTGGAGCTCTCTGTCACTGCGCTCCTTACCTTAATAATCCAAATTCCTTGCAAAAAAAGCATTTGGCCTTATTCAAGGATTGTTCCTCCTTCCACAACAGCATAACATCTTTCACTGGTACCACAATCTCCTTGTCTCTTTATGTACCATGGAATTCAGTTACTGGTTCTTTTTATTCCCTCTTTCCGTCCCTCCATTTTCTTCTTGAGTAGCTTGGTCTAACTCTGCTTCATTTACCTTCTCCCCCAGTTTCTTCACATCTGACTTGTGAACCCCTGTTTAGTTTTAGATATTCTTCTCCCTGGCATGCCTGCTATTACAGTGTAACTAAGGCTGTATTACTACGGCTGTATTACTAAGACACCACAGTCCCATTTCAGCAGCCTGGGGTGCTCCTCAATCTGTAATTACAAGCAAGTCTGTCTCGTAGTGAAGCAGGATGTTAATTGTCCTTGAGGTGGACTAAAAGCCACCCACTACACTCGGACATTCAAAGGCTCGATATTGAGGTGTAAGTATTGGCGTGATTTTCTGCCATCGGTATCTGTACTGTATCATAAATTTACACAATAGTTTACTTAGCAAAACTGAGAAACTTCTATGGAGCAGAAGCCACCTAACGAGGCAATAAGTACACAAGGGTAAACCTGCCAGACATCAGGAAACTGAGTTCTAAGGAAGGCTAGAAAAGAGCATGCTTCTTTAAAAGAACTTCAGGTTCAGAGAGAAAAAGGAACACAGGAATGATGAGGAGCACAGACACTGTAAAGAGGCACTACAGAACATAAACACATTAAGGTTTCCAAGAAAGCCTGAAGCTACAGGCAGCCACTTACTTACACCTCAGCCACTCCTCAAATTCAGAAATAAACATCAAACACAATCTTCTTATGAGCAATAATACAGGGAGAAAGTTACCATTATTTCCTCGGATAAATGCGTCCCCATACTTGTTCTTTAATTGTCCATTTACATATTCTTCTGTCTGTTCCAGAGCTATATTCATATACCCATCCAGGCAAGCCAGGACACCTGAAGTGAGTGACAGTTAAAAGTCAATCAATTTAAATGTATCTTAAAATAAGTAAAAATGCATGGGATTTGAACAGTACAGAAAAAACTATATCTTCCTAATAAAATAAAAACCAAAGCTTCTCTAGATGAGTCGGTTGGTCAGAGTACTCTTAAAAGAATTAGGCTAGGAGTGAGGAACCCCAGGCTCTGGTAGCAATTTCATCATCACTTGATATGGGGAGGGGAAAGAGGTGGGGTCATCGAGGCACGACTTTCAAAAGATCAAAAGACTTTCACTTTGAAAGTTTGAGGTCCCTTATTGCTTGTGTTTTAAGACACATACCTGAAAAGAACCTGTGACATTAATTGTAACCGACTGAACTAAGGACAAGACTATGTAAATCGAGTTTTCATCAAAATTTATCTGAAAAATAGCCCTGTTAATAAAGGACACCATAGGCAGGCTTTCAGATTTCTTCTTTTCATGCCTACAGAACTAGAAGAACGTTGGCTGCAAGCCTTTTTTTGTGTAAACAAAATTCTGTATAATTTTCAAAAGGCAAAAGGCTTTCAAATGACACTGAAATCTTCCCACAAATATAAAATATGCTCCTCATAGAAATACTATGTATTGGCTGCGCTTGGGGGGAGAACTCCGGTCAGAATCCTCCTCTAGGACAGAGTCTTGTTTTTCAGAAGTGTTATAGTAATATCTTCCGTTAAACAATTAGGAATTTAAGTTCTCCTGCCAACTTGTAAAGGTTGGGGGAATGTTATTTTCCTGTATGTGTTTTTCTTTCCTCTGTTGCTACACAAACAGGGAAAAATAACTGTTCAAAGTGCTATTAAATGCACAAAAAATAAAAACAAAATGAAAGGGAGAACCCTCACTCCAGTAATCCAGAGTGCTCCAAGTCACTCCAGTAATCCAGAGTGCTCCAAGTCACTCCAGTAAGCAAAAAAACCTGTTTGTCCAAAATTATAATTGGACTGCATGTTTTTTAAGCTATCATTCACTGGGCCATAAATGGCATTATTTTCAGACTCTTTTGCTCCTAGAGTGCATTCATGCTTGTTTCACTCTCTTCTCCCTTCCCTTTGTATTTTCTCTACTCTCAGGCCAGTAACATTATCAAATATTGTGACCGCCTACCCGGGCTAGTTTATCTTCAGTTCTATATACCTATCCATCTCTACACATAGAAATCATACATATTAATTTACCACTGATTACCTGTGCACTTTCCTAGGGCTTTTTCCCTTAGATGTGTACATGCCCTTGGCAGAGAATAAAGACATTTTACAGCTACACAGCAACGCTTGTATTAGGTCACGTTTGTATGTACAGTGGCTAGGAGGGTGGAGGTACAGACACAGAATTAGCAACACAGCCTAGAGGCAGAATTGAGATAGATCTGCAATAAAAACCTGAGATGCTGGGTTTTTTAATGTTTGGGTTTTTTTTTTATTTTTTTACAAATATTGGTTGGATTTCTGTAGAAAATGAATTGAGTGTGCATTTTTCAAATGAGAACAGTATACTATTTTTAACTGCACTCTGGCAGGAAAACATCAAAGGAGGCTGCTGGTGGGAAGGAGGGAGAGCAGAAGGAACAAATAACGAAGACAGGAAAAAAATCGAATGCCAAATAGCACTGTGTAAAGGAACTATGGGTCAACTCTTTCTAGGCCTGACTGTAGGCATATTAAACTAGTAGAGTTCCAGGCCTAGTGAAGACAAAGGTTGAGTGGCTTATCCACGGCAACTACAAATGCATCTTACTGAGCAGAAGGTACCAAAAGAAAATAGTTCATAAAGAAAATAGTGTATGCAAAAACTAAACCAAGTTTAGCCCTGCATGCTGTGTACTTTTAAGCAAATGATGACTTGCTTTAATTGACTTTAATCAGCTGTTACTACAATCTCTTGCAAGAAAAAATTTACAAGGGCCAAAGACCGACAAGAAGCAGTGAAGTTTTTCAGGCAAAGATCCCATTCAGAAGTGCTCAGAACATGTAGTTCTCAAAGAAATGACAGATTGCTAACATCGTTGCCAGAGAGGGACACTAAAGAGGAACCAGAAGGGATCAGAAGGCCAACTGAAGCCAACTGAATTAAATCTCTGAAGCAGTGATCTGTAGCAGGTCCATAACATTTAAATCATTCCCTAATAAAATGCCTAGCTTGTGTTGAAGAGGAGATAAACCAAAACTTTTCATGTAATCTTGAATCCTACTAAAACAATCTGACAACCTGACAGTCTTATCCTAAAAGGAGTAGGACACTTCACTGAACAGCGAAGTTCTATTTACTACTTAGGAAAACTGTAATCCTACATACAGCTCAGGAAGATTTACAAATGGGCTGAAAAGTATTGGACTAAAACTGCTGGATTGCTTTGAAACACACTGGAAATATAGGAGCAGAAGTCAAACAAAAAAAGCTTTCTCCTCATTGAGATGAGTATTGATGCAACACAAGTCTAGGCAGTTGTTTAACTAAGAACTAAATAACTCCATTTCATCTCTGCTGTAAAGGTAGGCTTATGACTGTTCAGCAGTTTGGTAAGCAGTTTACTGTTCAATGCTCTTCTGGACCAAGCTATACAAGGAGTTGGAGAACTGGAAGGTGAAGGAAAAAGGTGGTTTTAACCAAGGAGGCTAGCAGAGAACTGGAAAGAGCACTGCCTGGGAATTTCAGGAATTGTAATTCAAACCAATTTCAGTTTAGAAACTTGGAATCATCTCCAGACTTCAGTCTAATCATCTGTGACTAAAGACGCTAATGATTTAGATAAGTCATTTTAATTTCTAGATCTACCTCTTTTTCATTTGTTTCTCCAGAACTGATCTTTTTCTTATCATTCTGAGATCTACATTCATGTACTCCAAGATTTTGGGTCAAACTGCTTGCTTTTACAAAGCACTGCATCTGTTCCAGCCTCCACAGACAATGAAATCATAGACTTATGATGTATGGGAAACAGAGGGAGAACTTACCTCGATAATCAACTCCAGAATTTAATTTTACAACAACTGGCCGTCCAATGATTTGCTTTAGAAAGTCACTAGGGGTTTGCTTCCGTAGACTCATCTTTATCTTCCCTGGTAGGTCGGGAAGAGAAGAAGGGAGAAGAAGCATTTGGATAAGTAACACACTCAAAAGTAGACTTTAAACACTCAATGCAGACAGGCACTCTCCTGATTCTCAAGACTCTCAGTAAGAGAAAATATCAAACGAGATAGAAGGAAGGACAGTTCCTAGAGCTATAGCGTTAAACTTTCTATTTGACATTTGTATAACTCCTGAAATTTTAAATCAAGGATTCCTGTCAAGAATTATTTACCATGCTGTGCCTCTTGCAAACTTCCAATGTAGCCAAAAGCCTCAACTTCTCTTTGCTGAAATAGATTTACTAAAAATCACTGAATAATTAGTAACTGGTTCCTATCTGGGCAGGGGGGAGGATGGAGAGGAAGCCAGTACATGCTCTACATACAGAAGTCTGGGCTGAAACAAGAAAAGGGATTTTGATCTCAGTAACACCAACATGAGCAAAGAATACATTAGAAAGGATGACTTCAAAAACTCAATTAGATTATACTAAGTTTAGAATTAAGCACTGTAATTAACTTGTGCAAAAACCTGAAAGAATGCTGTGGTTTAAAAATTCATGGCACTACATACAAGCCAAGTTTGGTAGGAGGCCCTAACTCAGTATTGCTTCCTTCTGTTTTAATGTTATTTTAAGTCATTTTGCCTAAGTAACAGCTATTCTGCATTTTAAATTAATTGTAGAAAATACTGCTAATGATGCGTTGGTATCATTACTATGTCAGCCTTTTGCTGCTTGATATTTCATCAATACAAGGATTTTGAGACTTTTAATCACTTTGTACTAACATACATCTTACGGTTTCACACGTGATATTTACAGCGTAAGACTTGTTTGCATAACATAGTTTTCTGAGAAAGCACGAACATGCTCTGAAATAGCTTATACTGTACAGGTACACTGCCTGAATAGGAACAGAACTGGGCAAGATCTGCTTTCACTAGACTTACCAATTTACCTATGCTATGGATTCACAGTTTTTGCTTTTACTTGCTGCTTTTATGTGTGTTTAAAAACAACTAGAATAGCACCAAAATATACTTCGACAGCATATACACAACGGGAAGTATTTCTAAAGAAAGGTTTATGACAGAAACGCTAAATGCAATGTGAAGCTTTACAGCCACGCGCTTGTCAAAGGCAGAACACCTAAAACAACTGTCTGGCACCATACCTCCCATCACCCTCCCCCCTCCAAAACACACGGCTGGGTGCACCCAGCCGGGTTCCCAGCTCCTGCTGTAACGGCGGCGAAGAGGACGGGGAAAAGAGGAAATAACAAAATTCTGCGTGGACGTAACGGGGAAGAAAGAAAGGGGGGGAAAAAACCCTGAGCGCACGTTTGCGCACGCGTTTTGCCGTGCCGATGGAAAAAAAAAAAACCCTCCCGGGCCGCTTTATTTACCGAATAAGCTCGCTGCCTCGCTACGCTGCTCCGAGGGGAGACAGGAACCTGCCCTCATCTCCTACGATCCCTTGCAGAGCAGTAGTAAGGATTTTGGAGTCAGGCGGGGAACTGTGTGCATCCTGCTCATGTTCATACGTTTCTTGGGCATTCTGATAGCTGGTACGCCCGGCTCGAGAGCGCGTTTGGCAAGGCGACGGTAGGCGCGGCCGGGAGGCGTGGGGGGAGGCGGCGCCTCCTCGGGCGGGCAGGCCCGGCGCCCTTTCACCTGTGCCCCTCTTCCCCCCCCGCTGACCGTTGAGCCCTGGCCGTTGACCGTTAGTTAGCCGTTAGCCCTTGGGAAACGCGGCAGCTCTGCCCTTTCCTATGCTGGCAGCGTCCGAGACGAGCGTCCCAAGCGCTGGGAAACCAGACCTGTTTACGACCAGCGTATCGTGAGCAGGTTTGGCGACGCTGAAAGTTGAACTCCTCTCTTTGCGGTACAGGGACCGAGCGTGCAGGCCTCTTAGGCTGCTACGTGCCTCAGACTTACTTTGGAGGAACCTATTTCTAGCTGTGCCAGGTTAGTTGCTAGCACCCAATAGTAACTATTTTTTTTTTTAAACACTCCCAAGAAAATACTGTAAAGGGCCATTGGTTATAGTGTTTTTCCTATTACGTTTTTTGAATAATCAGAGTTGCTTTCACAAAACTACAGATGCAAAGGTCGATACAGAAGGCAGTTGGTCATCACTGGATGAGCAAGGATACCCGCTGTCTGTTGTCTCCCCTCTGTCTAGTTTGTCCAAATACACAGAACTTCATTTTTCTCTAGCTACGTCGTCACTCCTGCTCGTGATATATGTCAGTCCTGTGACCTGGAAAGCTGAAGTGGTAATGACCCTCTTTGCATTTTTCCAAAGCATGATGAAAAGTGGAATCTTGGGCACGTTTCAAGTTGTTCTTGCACAACACTGAAAGACAAAGTTTCCTACCTTCTGATCTGAGCTGTTTTAAGAAGGGACCCTAAAAGCTTCATCGTAAGATGTCCGCACCTTCAACTCTCATACAAAAAAGCCTACCAGAAAATAACCTGTAATAGTTCTCACTTCTCCTTCCCCTTTAACTGTGATTGTAATTTTTGCTTCTTTCATTAACACAGACTAATGCATGAACCTGAACAGGGGCATGGGGGGCCCAATTATCAGAACTCCAGTCTGTGTCTTTTTCATGATCGGTTGAAAGTAACTCAGGCTACAGGAGGAAACTTCTTAAATCTGAGGTTATTTTAATAGATTACTCCATTTATGTTTTATATTATGAGAAATTCTGTCTTATTAAAGGCCATAAGTCTCATCTGTTTTAGAATTATGACAATGCAAAGGCGTTATTGATTTCTCGTAAAACTCCTCCAAAATCTATCTGAATGTTCTGCAAGTGATTCACCTTTAGAATCTACTGATACTTTATTACCTAAATTCTGATTTGTTAATGTAGATGCATTTTTTATGTCTTGCTCATATTTATACCAGAAAGTAATGTCTCATTGATTTCTTATGGGAAAATGATATGATCCAGTATATAATTCTGTTCTACTATAATGAGATTCCATTTATTCCCAAACGATCTTGTCCTACATAGGCCTTATTAGATTTTGGTGTAGGGATCCTTACAAAAACTCTAGATAGGAAAGTGTTGTTCAATACATTTTACAGGTGAATTAATGAATGTAGAAACTAAGTGATGTTTTCCAGTGTTGCCTGAATAGAATATGACAAAACGAGAAGTCAAACTTCTGTCTTCTACTTCTCTCCTCACCTATCTTCTCCCCTTTCCCCCAGCTATCACCATAATGTCTGGGAAGTCCTTTCTTTTTTAGGGATTTAGTACCATGACAGGAGTTAATTTATCTGTGAAAGCCTCTGAACTGGATTTTTTATTCTTCCATTATTGATTTAATATCTTAGTAAAACTATTAATTCTCGTGATACAAAGAAAATACACTATGGCTTTTCAGAGCATGCATTAGTAAATGTCTTCCTCTCTTGCTTCTAGAATTGTTTTATGTTCTCTTTTTTAACGCGTTTGGTAACATTTCTTTTTTTTTTTTTTCCCAAAAGCTTAGGCTAAAGGGCTGTAAAAGGCAAGGTCTGCAGACCCAATAAAGTTCACCTTACTGTCCTAGAGTTCAAGAACAGTCATAGTTAGGAAAGTAGGGCCACATTGTGACCGTGTTGCCGGGCAACCATCATATTAATCAGGAGCATCCAACTGTGCTTGATTATATCTAGTACTTGAAGCAGAAAAGGAACCTAAAATAGTTACTACAGGGAGCAGGCTTACAAAGTTTAATTTGGCCACCAGGCTTCAGTGCATAATATTTTGATGAGAAAGTATCCTGTTTTTCATTATTATTGATCTCTGTGATAAAGACTGGGCAACTAGATTTCATGCCTGGGCTGGTAAATTTTCATAACAATTTTGCAAGTCTGGCTAGGCATATTTTGTGATTTAGGAGCCTTCCTTTTTTGTTTTACTTCTGACAGATTTTTCTTTGCAGCTTGCATTTCCTTTTTGCTAGTCTCTGCTGAGCTGTTTTACCTGCTGCCTAACAGGCTGCTTTCTAGTTAGGTTAGGTAGTAGCTATAGCTTGTGTGTATATGGATATTTTTGTTGTTTGGTGCCAGTCAGCAAAATCTTTGCAATTTCCTACTTGGTACCTTATTAAGCTTATAAACATGCCTATTTTAAGTCACGAGAATTGAGTTTGGTAAGAGTTTTGTATCCTTAACTCCCCTCATTCATGGCTTGAGGTCAAGTCAGGAACCCAAATCCTAATTTTCTGTGGTTTGCTTTAAGTTTTGAAACAATCTCACAGGCTGCTCTTAGTGGTGAATTGACCTTTGTGCAATAAGATGTATATTTCTGAGCAGTTTGGTGTAGTGTGATTTGCACCTGGAAAATTCCTTTCTTGTACATTTGGAAAGATTATGTAATAACATCTGTTAATGCGCAACCCAGAAAATGTTATATTTCCTGAATGACAAAATCAAAATGACCTCAGGAAGGTGGTCTTCAAAGGGTTTAAGTAATCCACATTCAATGGAATCTCTGAAGATTTCAAAGCTTCAAGAGTGAAAATAAAATTAAGACCTCATTGGCTAATGAGGTCTATACTCACTCATGAATTCTATACTTGTTTGTTTCAGTCATCTAGATGGAAAAGGATTTAGATCTTAAGTTTTCGCATGGTTTGCTATCAGTAGAATCCTTTAAATACCGTATTGCTTTATCCTCTCATAGTATACTACGATAGAGCTTTTTCAGCTTTATAACTCACTGAAATCAGTGAGATGCTGCCCTTGCGTTTTAATCAAGATGAACTTGAAAGGTGAACATTGTAAGTGGTAGAAATTATTTATAATTTGGTAATAAAAGTTTATGTCTAACACTCCAAATTTCATACATCTGCTATGTGCTGGCCTTGAGATATAGAACAATTGCAGTTGCCTTTACATTTGGCCTTAGATGAAAGGTCATAAATTACAATGATTGAGTTCATAGTCATTCCCAGCTCACAAAATTTCCATATTAACATCTTCACCTCAAACATAAATGGTTACAAAGTTACAAAGAAAAGAGTTGTGTTGGCCTTTGTCAACTGAATTTAATGATGGAAGTCGGTGGAACGTATACTATTGCTAACTCTTAAATGTGAAGCATTGCAGAATCTTTGTTCGGAGGACCTAATTAAAACTGTACAGTTAACTTCAAAAATGAAATGGGATTTGACAGTCTCGCTCTTTCTTTTTAATGGAATGAAAACTGCTTCAAAGTTAGGAAGGTTTTTCTTTCCCAGCTACTTGAAATAAAAATATTTCCATAGAGCAAGATGGCTATATAACACAATATGTTAAAAAGATTGTCCAGGTCTTCTAGTTCTTGTGAAGAGAACCTTACATAAGTTAAATGCAGATGAACAACAATCCAGATGGCAAAAGAATGTCTGTGGCCGACTTTGAATTCGACCTAAGTAATCCCAGGCTGTAATCCAGTGGATGATAAAAGAAGACGTAGTAAACAATTGTCATCTGAAAATTAGGTCACAGAGGACAAACCTACTCTGGTCAAAATCATGGCTTTTGCCCAGATTTTAACAATCAGATTTGGTACCTCCTTAGATTAGAAAGAAAAAAAAGTCTGAAAAATATGCAATAGAATAAGGAGCCAAGAATCAGTTCCAAATCCAGGGAATCTGTGTTTGTATAGACCCTCGGAGAGCATGTGGGGAGAAGAAGTCAGCTTCCATGGAACAGTGTCAAGATGGAAAACCTTTGCAACTCAAGGTTAACATTGTAATGGCAGAGTTTTCAGAGGGCACTGAAGTAAACACTGTATTACATTTCTAGAGTTTGAGAGATGGAAGGTGAGATTTTGCTCCCACTGAAGTCAGTGGAATTTTGCCAGTTATTTTGCTGTACTGAATTCCCATCTAAAAACAATCTCAGAAATATCAGAACAAATCTGGGACAAAAACAAAGTCAGGATAAGGCTCTTAGGTTTGGTTTCTTTCCATATGCTTTGCATCAGGAAAGGTCCATATATGCTTTCTCCAAAGCTACTCCACGGAATTCCTAAGGGAGAACTGAGCACATCGATATCTTGTGCTGCTCAACCTGATGATAAGAAAGTCGCTTCACAGCGAGTGGACTGGGTGCTTTTCAATCCTGAAATTGCTCCTGTGCCAGGAGAATGGGGATTAGCATCCCCTGCATCTCTGTGGACCTCCAGGCCTCCAACTGACTGCAAGCTGGTGGCTATGATTTGCTGAGGGTTCTCAGTCTCGCCTTGCATTGTTTATGCTGTGCTGTGTGCAACGAATAAACTGGTGCCAGCTTTGCTCTTAGGCATGGGATCACTGAAGCTGACCACACCACACCTCTGTGCCATGCTTCCTGGTAGACCCACTCCCTTAATATTGCCGTAACTACCACCTTCTCTGTCCACTTCTCATTTCTTCCACAGCCATGTCCCTTTGCTATAATGTTTGCTTTTCAGA